TTCCTATAATAAAAAAAAAAAAAAGAGCCAAATCTAGCCTTTGGAAAATATTTTCCTGCACATTTTGATCCATTTCTGCCAGCCAAAAAGGGAGAAGGAGTTCTAAAAGCTCCATATTTGTAATAAAAAAGTTTCTCCAGCAAAGGTACCAACAGACAGATTTAAGACAGGAATCCAAGAAGAGCTGCCATAACAAGGCTCAAAGCTGTTCGAGCTACACATGGAAACACCGCAGAAATTTGGAGGCTGGAAATATTTTTCACCCATTCTAGTCCACCCATTCATTTTGCTGACTGGTCAGTGCCACAAAAGTGAACGTGACCACTTGCCTCCTCAGTCTATAGGGATTTAGTACACTCGGACTACTGTGTCCTCCTTTGACAAAAGGTTTTATACAGACAGTGCCAGGCATTAATTACAGTAATTTGTTGTTAGACTTCTTTCCTAAGGAAATAAGGCTCATACACTTTCATTGTCCATTTGGGTGGACATCTGTCCCCCTTAACAACTTCTGAGTTGATGGGTAATTTCAAACACAGTCGGAAGAACTTAAAAACCTCGCAGATGTTACTTTCTTACAAATTCCATGAATACTGCTGGCTGGGTAAAGGAAAGGGGAAAAAAAATCCATAGTTCACAGAGGGAGAAAGGTAGAATTCAGCCATAACCTTCAGCATAGCCAAAGCTGTCTTTGCCAAAGAACGTGTCATCTTTTGCCTAGTGAAATAGAACGGATGGGGGTGAGTAGAGTAATTGAAGTGGTAGCATAAAGGAAATTAGACCCAAGCCTGCAGAAAGACACACTCAAAGTTTCGTTGCTTATGGAAAAACCTCCTTTCTTACATTATTGCACGATAACAAAGCTCTCAAATACTATCAAGCCATCGAATGAAATGGTTGATTAAACTTCCTTCAGCTGGTTCCTTTGCGTCATAACCATACCACCCAAGAAAGATATCACACTTCCCACACGTGAATTTTACTAGTAATTCATTACTAATTTTCAATGAATCTGACCACAAGTTTATTATAAACCATTAGGTTCATAGTAGTTCACTAAAAATCACAGGGTAGCTAATAAGATCAACCTTCCATTCCTTAACAGAATTTATTAATGCATTTAACACTATTTCCTGGGGTATTCATGTTTCTTTTATTAAATAAGCACTATATCCAATGTTGTTATTCTCTGGCTTCATAAAAAACATCAACATTTTATTTCAACATTTTTTCTGTGCTATTCAAATTAAGCTGTTTAACTACTATGATTTCCTGAGGATTTATATTGACCAGTACTACAAAAATTCTCTGTGACACTTAAAAGGAAAGTATGCAGTCTGAGCATTTATACATGTCTGTTTATCTTGCCGTGGGTGTTACTAGAGATCCCTACACACATAATATTATTTGCTCAATGTTTCTGCTTTACATATTAGTTTGGAGTCTTTGCTGAAGTTACGACTATTATACTGTGGAACAGAGAGCAAAGCTAATGACTTCCTTACCAAGAGATAAAAGGACAGCATAAACCACACAATTGATTTAATATTTAAAGAACAAGAATTTAATTTGGTATGCAACATTTTCCTAGGAGGATCTTTATTTTCAATGCTATACATGTGAAAATAAGAATGAATTAAGTGGCTCGTTACCTACAGGTATAAAAATATAAACATCCTATCAAACACCTGCAAAGTGACCCTTCATGATATGCATCACTGAAAAGAACTATGCCTTAACTTCTAATTAAAAGAAAGACTGCCTTTGTTTTTTTATTAGCACTTGTAAATGCTACTGCATTCATCCATAAGTACATGAACTGTGAACAACAACAGCTACAAAATGTATACAGGACTCCAGTATTGTGCCTTTAGATTTTTGTCCTTCTGCACGTCAACAGGTTAGCAAAGTCATCGTGTTTATCTGTTCTTGGAGCTCTTGATAAAGGTGATCAGCAAAACTCAAGGACTTTGCCTTGGGTATTTTACCTCTTAAAAATTTTAGTAAAATTACTAACATTTAAGAAAAATATCACCTTGTGTGGCAAACCATCGAATGACTATTACATTTATGGCACTATCATTTTAAGCCTGGACTATAATGAGTTATCAGTAAATGAAGGGCCCAATTTCCTAATACAAATAGCACTTAGAGTTTTTAGCACAAAGATTAAAAAATGATCAGTTTATGTTTTTATTACATCCATTTTTACTTAAAATTATGAAAATTTCTGGGTCACCTGCCAGCAAACGGATAGGCAATCATTGATCAAAATACAGGCAATATTTGTTTTAGAAATGCATTCAGCCACCTGGAAGTTTAGTTATGATTCACATTCAAGCAAATACATAATTGATTTCAGTTCTACAAGCTGATATTCATACTGTTTTTCCATAGAAACAGGTATAGGAAACCAGTAAAACATTACCATATTACGTACATAGCGTAATATGTAAATGCTCAGCTAGATATATTATGAAATTCTGTAGCACTAAAATGATTAAAAAACTAAATGATTCGTGTAAAATGTTTACATACTGTATATATATGTACACTAAATCACAAGTTCAATTTAAAACTGCCCCTATTCATAGCTTCTTTGATGGATTTAGTAAGCTACCAGATTCCTAAAAAAACAAAGCTATCTAGAGCGAATTTGAACACTTTACCGAAAACTGATTTTATACAAAATCTTAAAAAACATACCTCAGAATTACTTAACAGAAACTAGAAAAAGACAGTCATTATTCTCGAGAACGGCATTGTAAAGACCTAGTAACTGTGATCAATGTCCTTTCATTTGTGGTATAAACAAGTCAAGCACACAGAAATCATCTCAGAGTAAGGCATAGGACAAACACGTTTCATTCCATCTCCAGGTGTATTGGTCTATCACTATATCTTATTGCTCATCTAATTTGGCAGGTATACATTTCTTTCCTTTTAAAAATACTCCACTGTACAACTATCTACAACCAGACAACACCCAGCACTTTCATATACGCATTTTCAATTCAATCACATCGATAAACAATCTTGCTAATAGGAAGAAAAACCCCATGGTGACGCAAATTATTTTCAGTTTTATGCCGTTGCACATGCACTTAATGAAAGACCAAGGGGTGAACAGAGACTCAGCACTGAAACTCAAATTGATACATATGTAGCTATAGCTCTTTTCAAAGGAATTAAGGTTTTAAAAATAAAACCCTACTGTGAAATTCTTTGGTTAGAAACACAAGTGCTAGCAGTATTTCTAAATTTGGAGTTTAAACAATATATTATTTAAGAGTTTTTTAAATGTAACTTCAAGCCTTTTATATGTACTGCTAAATTCTTCAACACTTTGGATACATTTAGGATATTTTTCTATTAAGGTCTGAATGGACCTATAGGTTTTTAAATCAAGATCAGATTTTAAAGGAAAGTGGTTTTGTACCCCAGTCTCCACAAATTTATTAGAAAGAGCTGCTCGATCTTCCCTACATAAAATCTGCTGCTCAGAAGCAAGCTACAGCTACCTCCTCCGGTAATGAAAAGACTGTTAGATAGTACAAACCAAATACAGCTTAGAAGGGGAAATTTCCCCTAAAGAAAGTTGGCATCGTTCTGGTTTTTGTAAGGACGGGGCTTAGTCCTTTCTAAGAAGCACTAAGTTTGTCTAGGAAGAGGTACTTAACTCTCAGCAGTGTCACTGCCCTGGTAGTACTGCCATAAAAGCTCAGAAACTGGTTCTTAAAAAAGCGGTTTCGGCATCAATTCTGTTGGCTTCGAAGTTTCACAGCATTAACGTGACAAAACTTACAAGTAACAAGCAGGGTGCTCTTGATTACACTTACAATTAATTCAACGTACATGATCTCACCTTCCCAGGAAGCAGGCCCTACCTTCACTCTGGCAAGCCTGGCTTCATCTCACCCCCATAGGTTTGAGGATGTTTAAGGAAATATGCATTAAGATTACTATGCATATTATAGACACTACCTTCAAGAGAATGATAAGGACTTCACACCACCCATGAAAGTTACGATTCACAAGCACTTTAATTTTTCAAAGCGTCGTTGTTTTACCTCTCGAGGGAATAAACACGTGTCTCTGAGGACACTTTATAGTTCAAATGGTTGGTTATCCAGCGAATCCGTCCTTTCATATCAGCCTTGTGTGCCTGCTGTGCAGGCCCTGATCCAGTTTAACAGCTTGGAGAGGGGAGTTCAAAGAGATCAGGAGCAGAGAGGGGAGACAGATGTAACTGGTCAGGAAGGACCACACACATGCCTCCTGCAAAATTACTCATTTCTACAGATGAAGCATGAGTTGGAGTGCCAACACCTCACCGTCAGGCATTGCTTCTATGTGACGGTCCTTCACAGACAGACATCACTTTGATGGGATGAGGGGATAACACAGACTGTTATGGGTCTGCCCAACAAGGCGAAATACCACTTAAAGGTATGAGGATGTGGAAAGAGAGCTATTTGTTGCACAATCTTCAACAGAAGTTGCTGAAAAGCAACTGAAAAGTTCCTCAGCCCCTAAATGGAATGTTTTTGTAACACCCCACCCTGACAGAGCTATCCCTCAGCTCTTGCGTGCGGAGAGGGGCAGGGGCTGGGCGCACACACACACTTTCCTGGGGCAGGTATTTGTCTACTCCCACTACCTCTCTTCTTCCTCGCTACCGACACAGCTACTGGGAGGCATGGAAGGGAGGAGGACGGTGCGAGCCGAGATGTGGTGGCTGAGCAGGGACGTGGTGGCCAAGCAGGGACATGGCGGCCGAGGCACAACATGGTGACCTCCTGTCCCCAGAGCCGTCAGGAGGTGCGTGCAGGAGGGGTGAGGGCTGCTCTGGGGGCTGACCCGCCTTGTACATGGAGGCAGGCACAGGGGTGAGGAGAGTGCAGGGGGACACGGCCC